CCTAAGTAGACATACTATTTTGCAACTTTAATGTGCATTATTACCTACCTTGAAGCGCTGTTCTCTTCCAAGGTTGTTGTACATTACTTTCGTTTTCTGCAGAATAATTTTAAGACCTACCTTTCTGCTTTCCTTGTCTAAATCAGTAATCATGACTTGCAATTCGTCCGCTGAGTTTCTCAGCAATGCAATGTCATCGGCGAAACGCAGGTTGCTAAGGTACTCTTCATTAACTCTTATCTCCAACTCTTCGCATTCTGGGCCTCTGAAAACCCCCTGTAAGCACGCAGTAAATAGCATTGTGAAGGTTGTATCCCCTTGTCTTACACGCTTCTTGATTGATATTCTGTGACCTTCTTTATGGAACACTACGGTGGTAGTTGATCCTCTGTGGATTTCTTGTAGGACGTTTATATTGCTGTAGTGTACACGTATCCAGAAGGAGTACGGCCACTAGCGTGGGTGCGGTATTAGCGAGCTGCAGGGCACGCGTTAACTGCGTCAAAGGGAAAACCCTATACTGCTTAAAGTCACAACACTTTACTGTCTGCGGCAACATCAAAACGCAGTACAGAGCCCGGCGCAAAGGCGTAAAGGCGTGGCAGGAAAGCAAATGGGCTTACCACGCCACGGGCGAGAAGTACTACACAGGGGTGCTGCAAGCACGTCTCCGTGGTAAGAGTCATTCACGAATACACCGGGACAAAGGCCCGGCTGCTTGAGCGAGGGCAAAGGCGCTTGCGTACGCTTTGGAGAGATATGGGTCGGCGCAGTTTGACCACGCACTAGGACACTGCGCCGCTCTTTGGCCTATCTTTCGCAAGTGGCAACAAAAAGTGAGCGTTCACCGCGGCTGGGAGGCGCCGTTGCTAAATCCGACCAGCCCCAAATTATGGGAGTTGACAAACGGAAAAGAGATTGCGTGCTCATCGTCAGCTGTCACGGAAAAATCTGACTCACTCCCGACGCGCGGGCGCGCGAAACGCCTCAAGAGACTTTGCGTACGGCGCCACAGTCGACATCCGCTACCAGGTGAGAGGGGTTAAACGTCACTTCTCGATCCCCCCAGCACAGCAGATAGCAGAGGAGGGGAGTCATGCATGTCTGGACATGACTCATGGATCGGGGTGGTGGTAAAGCCTTGTGGGAATCGAGGCGGCAGGCTAGTCTCGATTTCGACAAGGCTTTGCCACCGCTCTGATTCCGCAGTGTGTGCATGACTGCTGACATTTCTACGGAGTGAAATGCCTTTTCGTAATCTATGAAGGCTGTGTATAGTGGTTGGCTGTATTCTGAGCACTTCTCTATTACCTGATTGATAGTGTGAATGTGGTCGATCATTGAGTAGCCTGTTTGAAATCCTGCTTGTTGCTTTGGTAGATTGAATTCTAATGTTGTCCAACAAACACTCGGCAGTAAAACGACTAGTGGTGCTCTTTTCCATTATTTATGAAAAGAGTGTGTTCTAAGTGGTCAAGATGGCAAGTTGGGCGAGTTGATTCGGATTGATCCTCAACTTAATTAGAAAAACAACGCTAGACATGAACGAAAAAACAAAACTTTGCATTAAGTCTCGAGTGATATTTTAAGAATTGTGAGACGTGTGCATTAGGCATGTGTGATATTTCAGGCACATTGAATATTGGAAGGAATATTACAGTATTCGATTCGGGACTTCAATCAGAGTTTAAATTGTTAGGAATTTCGAAGTACTCGAATTGAATGAATAGGTGTATGTAAAAGTGCTTTCACTGCAGTGAAGAAGCTGTGCATTGTCAGTGCACATTAAGGAACACCAGATTGTGAACATTTCCGGAGCCCTCCACCATGGCGTCTCTCATAATCAGATTGTGGTGTTAAGACGTAAAAACCAAGATAATGTTATTAATTTCCAGTGGAGGGGTGAAATACTGTGAATACATGTTTCTATGAGAAATCCACTCTGCCGTGAAGCCGCACTTCAAGGTTAACTGAAGAAATTACTTTCACTTCAATTCATAGTTTTTAAAGTTCGAAAGCTTGTTAAACACTTTATGTGCTTTCAATATAGTAAGTTTTTAAATGTTACGTATTTTCCAGGTTGCCATTTCCATTCTACCGAAAGTCAAATCCTGCTACTATTAGAAGTTGCTTCTGCTTCCTTTGAATCAAAACGAATATGACATTTGCACATGGCTGTTTTCATTTCTAAAAATATATTGTTCAGCTTATCTTAGTTGGGTCATGTTGAATAATCTCATATTCCTCTATAATTTGTGATATATATCATTCAAACTCAATTAAAAATAGTTTGGTCAAATTGCAATTTGTTTCGAACCTAAAACTTACTATTTGCACAGATCCAACACAGTAAAAGCTCATTCTAACTTGAAGGGGACTATAAAACTTTTCTAACTAAGCAGAGTTCGAATTGGCGGACGGACGCTAGAATAAGCTGACATCAAAATAGATCGCACGGCCAAAACTCAAAGAAGCCTCCTATGGACTCGTAATTGCAAATTAAGCGTTACTACTTATTTGTGGCAAGTGAATCCATAAATAAAGTTCATGGAGCTCCAGGAGCACACACAATTTAGTTGATTAGTCAGTGATACACGAGAGACAAGCACCGGCATGCATTCTGTTGAGTTCTTGGGTAGCCGCATCTCCACTAGTTGGGCCCGGTGGTTACCAGCATCTCGGCTCTGATACCAGTTGTTCAGATCCTGGGTCCAGCGGGTGTTGTTGGTTGCTGACCCCTTTCGTTGAATTCCTCGTCCAACTTTGCAGAAAGGAGAGGTGCTGATACAAGAAGACAGAATTATATAAATCACAAAGATGAAGAAGAGACATTAGTAGAAAAGGTTTTTCGGTGTTATAGCCCCACGCCTGTCAACACTGAGGCGATCAAACCAGTGTCAGCATCTCCCGCCAGTACGGTGCCCTACCGTCTCGATGCCCAGCCTACGAGGAAGGGTGAAGGCACCACACAATACACCTGAAGAAGGTATAGTCTAAGACGTCTTATCAAATCACGAGTGTACTGCGCAAGGTCAATGCACTAGTCTCCCACTTGGAGTGGCTTGATCCTAAGATCTCTCCCGGGGAGGAGATAGGGAGAGGTCATCGACATCGGAGGAGACAGCCCGCTCAAACAGATGCGAACCTTTTTGTCTGCACTCAAGTAGAAGAATTCTGTGGTTTACTAAGATTTTCTTCAAAGCTGTCGCCCTATGCTGCAAACACTGCAAAAGAGAGGGGTGTTCACAAATCCCCATTGTTTGCTCGCAACCCATCCATGACTGCATCCTAGCCTGGTTGACCGCGCGGTCATTAGCCACCTTTGGGAAAATGCGGCGCTTTGTGCCTCCTTCCGACCTGTTGATTAACAGGTTCACAAACAATGACACCTGCCAAAAGATTTCATAGAGTCGGGCGTAACAATTCATGCTGCGAGCAGTGAGCCTTGATGTTAATATATGGGATGTTATTTATGTTCCAAAACACTTTCATTTACATGGCAAAGTTAATGCAAGAAAAATTTAAGGTATTTAGTAATTTGCGTCAGCTCGCATTGCTTCTGTCAGGACCCCATCAGCATTATTTCCACTTAGCCCAAAAGCTCTAGCATAGTGGCCAAATTATCATTTGCTGTTAAATGGTGCTGTTTTGTTGCTTTGCATCTCTAGTAAATTTTGTTTGGTTTGTTTTTGCAACACTGCAATTAATCTGGGCCGGTGAAACCACGGCCTGCCAGTTCAGATTAATCGTGCATACCGACACCTTCAAATTATCGATAGTTTTTTACGGCAATATGCAAGGCTGTGCAGTACCAAAGCGCCGGTTCCATTTAGCCAAGTTGAAATGGTTTAACCGAGTCCGAATTAACGAGTACCTACAGAAACCACCATCTACCTCTGCAAGCCGGAAAGATGCAAGGAATTCGTTTACCCTTTTCCATCTCGATTACATGTAGTTTTGGAAATGCTGCCTTGATGTAGGTATCTTCGTGTCTTGTGCATGTCAAGGTTTTCATACCTGACAGATATACATGCCTTGCAATTCTTCAATAAAATTGAGAGCGAGTGCAGTGTCGTTCGTTTTCCTTTCTTTTGTTCGTGTCTACTGTTGTTTCAAAGTGAAGTTCAGGATAAATTCTAAGCGGTCACTGATACATTGGCCAGTTTAGCTGATGCAAACATTACCTCACGTCAATAGCACATCCTAGATGGCACCCATTGCATATTTATCAAAGGGCCTGTGCACAGAGCAGGCGAAGTCAGCATATGTGGGGTCCTCGAAAGCGCAAGATGAAGAAATCTTGATATACGGTCACCAGCTGGCACTGAGGTCTGCCAGACGGTGACATCGAATATTCGCACCCTGTAAAGTATGCTTGTGTCTATATAACGACTTTTAAGGTAGTGATAAGCACTAGTGTAGGTGTTTTGTATTCAAGTACTACAGTTTATATGTGCATGTGCTTGTGTGTTCAAGCGTTCCAGCAATTGAAATACACTTTGTGTTCCGATGTTCTCATGTTCAGGTATCATGTCACCTAAAATATGGGAGTACTGAGAATAATGCAAAAATGAACTCTGACTTCTAAAGAATTCAGGCATGACAAATAATAAACTCCTATCAGTGTCATACTTGCACCAAAATAAATTTGAAAAATTTGGGATTTATGAAAAATAAGTTTCTATAAACACCAAATATATACAAAAAAAAAGAACTCCAAAAACGCCCCCTAAATTTGCAGAAAAGATAACTCCAGAAGCATGTAGGCCTAATTATTTTACATATTAAACCCTAAAATACGTTGAATTTACATTTTTGTAAGCACATTTCATGTTCTCTTTTTTTTTTCTGCCATTGCATGTGAAAGATCAGGTGGGGTATCGGGTTAAAAAGCATTGCTACAACCTTTTGCAATAAGCCCCTTTTTTGCAGTTGTGAGAGAAGCTGAATGTTCATTAAGCATGCTGTTGCCCGTTTCTAATTGCCCAATACTTTTCCAGCTAAATCATCGGAGTGTTTTCGGCGACCATCAGCAGTTGTTGCCTTCAAAGACGAGTCGTATGCAGTGAAGGATGACCGCTGCATATACTACTTCTCCAAACATGGAGAGTTCATTCGGGCGCTTGGAAAAAGCAGCCTGAGCAGGCCTTATGGTGAGGGGCTTTCAAGAAGCGAGAAATTTGCCCGTAGTACCAGAAGCTGCCCTACTTTGTATCTTGGCAATCTCGGCGAGCTTTCACAGAACTGTGCTGCCACCTTTAATATACTCGAGGATACAGCGCTTCTGCTACTACTGTGCTCAGAACGTTTTTCTGTACTCACTTGACAGTTGCTTTCTGAAAGACTAGCTCTGTCTAGAGGGGCTGCTTCAAGCACTCCTAATCTATGGCAGCATCTGTGATTCTGCTGGCTTGTCATAACTTTCATAAGGTAGATTGTGAACAAACATGACTAAAGAATCGGTATGCGTAGATCATGCGAGTTCACCAAGGCGTGTTCACCAATAAAACAGACATGAAAGCAGCGCCCACATAACAAGCAGTGGAGGAAGGATGGTTCTATGCGTGGCGTGTGCAGAAGCATACGTTATTCTTCCAAATAAGACAAGCCAGGTGCCCTGTTATGGTTTAGCAGAATAACTTTCAATCAGAGTGTAACTGCCTGCAGTGTGCAGGGTGCATGAGAATGTTTAATGTGTAGTTTAGTTTAATGATGGTACGCATCACCTGTAAGCTCTTGAAAAGTTTGAATTTATCATCAGGAATACAGATGTGTTCGAATTTTTGGGAGTTTTTTCCCGTAGCAATACACAGGGCTAGGCTGCTGGAACTAGGGTGTCAGTTCGAATACTGTAAGTTTGTATTAACGAGCTTTTACTGTACATGTTTCATTGACCTCTCCTTGGTTCTATAATATTCAAATTAGTGTTGATTGCTTTAAGAAAGAAAGGTAGCATGCTTAATGTGCAAAATGTTGTGCTTGGAAGAAAGAGAGGATGGGCAAAAAGTTATCTCTGGTGTCGTAAAAGTCGAAGCCTCTTAGAGAACAGTTTCATTAATGCTATTCCTCGAGTTATGTTCGTAAGGCATCCTGCCTTGTTTGTATTTACATAGTTTAGCCTTTGTGGATGACTTTCGTTGTGGCCGCTCACCTAAGTGTTGCTATTCCTTGCATTACAGGCCTCGCATTACATGGAGAAGAAAATTTGTTCACCCTTTCTCTTGGTGATTCTGTGCCAACGCTGCGGTGCTTCAGCGCATCAGGAAACTTTGAGCAGTGTGTTGCATATGAACCACTCTCGCCTTCACCATCTTCTGGCTCCAAGTGCCGCTTCATGGATGTGTACGACAACCACATCTTTGTCTCTGACCTGGGTACGTTTAAACTCTAGTTAGCCATCAGTGCTACAGATGATGATCACCCGCTGGTCACTGGATCAAATCCCGACTGTGGCAGCTGTGTTTCGATGGTGGCGAGATGCTAGAGGACTATGTACTTGAATTTAAGTGTGCATTAAAGGGCCGGTAAACCATCCAGAGGTCGAAATTCAGATGTGAGGAAATTGTGCATGAGTGTACGACCAACACGGATCCGTGAGAATTTTTCGAAGCGGTGCAGTAATAGTGGAGTTACATGCATTTGATTATCGAAACCATGGCAATCACTCATTTCGCTTTTTCTTGCACATCCCTCCGCTGGTATCCTCCCCCAAGCCGCTTTGCCCTCTCGCTGAGCGCCCCTCCTTTACCCCTTCCAATCTTGCAGTTCATACGTCATCGCTGACGTGCTATTTGACACACCGTCTACTTTCGGTTGGCGCGACTCTGACCGTCCAATCCATCAATTGCGTAGTTTCTGCGTGCTTGTTGGCGAATTATGGCTGCTGTAATCGTGTCGGTATGGACCCTGCGTTGCGCGCGCACCTTCAAAGGATCGCCAACGTTACGGACCCCTACAGGGACACGCCGTGCCAGACAACTTCCGCACGAGATGAGGTGCACGCATGCAGGCAACACAACCAACAACAACAAGCAGCGCAGACAGTTGCTTGCAGACTGACCGGAAGTCGTAGGCTCTTGCTCGACCAATCAAAGCATATTTGGCTCAGTGCGTCAGAGATATGGAACAGCACGTCACGCGGAGGCTTGGAAAAAAGGAGGGATTGCTTTTTTTTTGGAATTTGTGGCACGTCAGCGGCTCCTAGCGCCGCCATGTGTAGAATCGTTGATTGCAACGGCATTCTGCGCACGATGCATGTGTTTATTTGAAATCTTAAAAAAAAATTATCAGAGGCTGTTTATGGACTCCTTAAAGAGCACGAGATGTTAAAAAATGTTGCTGATATTCCACATCTGTGTCTAACTGCAGCAAAACATGAACCCTATCGCATTCTGCTACAGTTCTCAAAAACAAAAACGTAGCACTAGGCCACTCAGTGGAGCTGTTGGTTTCTTAGCTAGTCCTAGCTTGGTCAAGTTATTGCAGGCTTATGCTAAGTTGCTAGGTTTTGCTAAATTACATCATCTTATTGCTATGTTTTGCTAATTTACACAATTAAAGTTATTGCTAAATTTGGCTACTGATCTATTGTCAGTTTGCATCAATGTACTGTCGATTGCTATTGTATTGGTTACGGCTCATCAAGGATTCGAATTGATCGAGTCTCCGTCATTCGATCACAAGCCAATGTTAGGTTCCACTGGATTCAATTAATCAGAATAAGTTAACTTTATTGGGCCACATGTATTTCAAGTATCTCTGTTGAGCTTGGTTCACTCATGCATTACTTAATTAGTATCAATTAGTCAGTCTGAACACTAATGAAATATACTCGACCTTGACGCCATAGTCAAATCGACTAATATGGCTTAATAAGGTAAAGGAAAGCTTAGGTATGTTGAAATAGGTAGTCTTAATTGAACTTCATTATGGTTGCTATCATTGGGAATATTAAGCTTATTCAGGCTTAATTAGGCATGGCTTATCCCTGGGGTAGGACAGCTGCATATATTGCACATTTAATACAACTTCGTTTTTTCTCAACGCTGCTTCAAAAACATAAAAATTGCAATAATTGCACCAAACTTCTGCAAAGCAGCCTTAAAATGAAAAAAATTTGATCCCCATCGTTTGCCTCAGTAGAGGGCAGAGGCTGAGTTGACATAATTTTCAAAGCAGTGTCTAGCAGCACCAGGGATATCGAGAAAATGAGATGTTTGAAGAACACATAAGTATAATATTTCTCTATGAAATGCCTTGTGCTGCCCAAAAAGGTAAGAAGGGTTAAACATGAGTACTAAGGTTGCTTTGTGAACAGGGGCCATAAATGCACCCAAGTATGTTTTTTCTATGCACCTTTTTAATGAAGGCTCCCATAGTGCCGTCATAATCTACTCTGGGCTGTTGCAAATACACCTCGGTATTGCTGCTGCCGAAACAGCAGCAGTTGAATACTGGACAACTCGCTTTAATTGTACCAGAACACTGGCAAACTGATCGGATTAGAACCTCGTCTTTCTCTCTCGCTGTGCGTGCTCTTCGTTGTTCTTTTGGTGCTGCTTATTCAGTGCGGCAATATAAAGAACTCGGATATGATGAAATAAGATTTATAACGAAGTAAATGAAAAGTAGTCTTGCGATAGATAGCGTTAGAATAAACCTTTATAATGTCTTTTTTTTATATAATAAATTTATTTTCCTGTAAGATGCAACTCTGTTATAATAAGGTTTGAGTGTATGCATGACCCACCAAAAATGCGCTGCTGTGTCCTGAGCGTGCCGCTTCTACTCGCTAGGGGGTGTCCTGACAATATGGTTGCTTAAGGGAAAAGAAAAACTATCGAGTGGCATTCATAGTGGGGTTTACTCTCATGTTCTTTGTTGTGCAAAGCTTGTCCCTCCGTTCGCTGTGGTTCTCACCTCGATGCTGCATGTTATCACCAAAGTGCACTTTTGCTGTTAAAGTGCTCCTACCGTTGTGTGTCATATCATCCATGGGTTAGGCCAGTGTCTTGGTGCTTCACTGCGGCAACAACTCTCTTCCTGCATGCGATGCATCTCTAGGATGCTGTAGTAGTTTTGCACGAGAAAGCAGTATCGGACCAATGGGAAGCATGTTTGTGTTGTCCTCTAATAAAAGGCATGCAATATGCTTAAAATTGCACAGCACTTGCGGTACCATATGCACGTGTTTTGACGAGACACTCTTGATGGCTGTTCTGCACAACGCGGCAGCAAATGGCAGTGCAGCGCTGCTTTTGTTATTGCCTATCGAAAGCATGGTTGACATAGCTATAGCCTCATAGATAAGTTAGAATGTGTACAGAACAGAGCTAGTCTATTCATTGCGCGTAATTACAGCTACCCGTCCAGCTTAACACAGATTAAACATAGCCTTGCACTCAAGCCACTGAAAATTCGCCGCGGCATCTCACTTTTATCACTATTTCACAAACTCATCCACACCAGGATGATGCCGTCTGTTCACCTTAATATAGCACATCGAACTTCGAGCAGACTACATAACACCTTTGGCTTATCACGCATGTATGGCAATACTCTTTCAACCAGTCGGCTCTTCCACAAGCTATTCGTTTGTGGAATGATTTGCTAGATTATCTTGCGTCAGAACAAGACCACACAAAGTTCTATCATACTCTTAAAAAATACTTATGCACCAAAAACTGCTCTATCGCATCTTCGTAATCATCAGTGTTTATAGGACTGTTGCCGATGTTTTTGCACTATTGCTAGGTTGTAGTTACTGTCATAATTTTTTTTTTTGTATTTCACCTTCACATACTGTAACTCACTTTTCTAGTATGTATTTTGCTTACATGTTCATAAGTTGAACTGCATTTTCTATTATATTCAATATTTGCCTATGTATGTGTAGATATATATGTATATTTTTCTAACATATTATCTGTACCGCCCCACTTACACAATGCTTCTCGAGGGCTCTGTAAGGTACTGTAAGTAAATAAATAAATAAATAAATAAATAAATAAATAGCGTACTGGACGCTTTGTCAACGTCGTGGCAGAGTACATAGCTGAAGGTGGTTATCGAGATCTCCTTTTGACCAAAAAGTTATACTGACCATCTGGAAGCTGTGGGGAAGCATGATGAGCTAAATAGTAGCAGACCTACAAAAAGCCATAGCAGTAGTCTGCTAAATCTTATTACCGATCCTAAGCATAAGCCTACTGCTATGTAACTAGAATTCTTGTGCTGTCGATTTTTTATTTTTTAGAAGTGTGATGCTTTTTCAGTTTTTTTTTTTTTTTGCAAATGCTTATAAAGGGAACATAGTTTACAGAACCTGTAATTATTTTACATGTTGTTTGTTACTCAGGCTATAAGTTGTGTGGCATGTAAAAAGGTAATGTAGTTCACAACTGGCTGTTAAAGCAGCCTTCTCCAGAGGCTGTTTTGGTGTTGTGTATTCATGTTCTAAGCTGATAAAAATATTTACTTACCCTGAGGGTGCTACAAATTTGTTTTTTTTTTTTTCACGCTTCTAAGATGACATTAAATGTTGCTAACTGTTCCAAATCAAGGTTCTTTTTTTAAATCAAAATTTGGATTCTGAACAAGCTGCCCTCATTTGAATTTCGGTTGCCTCACCCCTGCTATACGTACTTAACTTGGCTCAACTTGGCCCATCTGACTTTTAAGGTGAGATGCGGGCTGAAAAATACGAGTTTTCTAAAAAAAACCGGTTTTTTGTTTTCATCTATTATGAGTACCTATACTGCTCTGAAAAAAAAAATAGAAAAAAATTATGCAAGACTCAACTGGAAATGCTTCAAAATTGCGTGTAAGGAGCACAAAGTGGCTGTTAAAAGAACGAAAGTGAGCTGTCTTCGAGCACCTTTCCACTGATAATGCGCCGCCGCTCGCCATTGTCAATCGCATAAGGGGAAGAGCTGAACCTCACTCTTTAAAGAACGACGGTTTCCTGCACTGCTGAAGTGCTAAGAATAACAAAAATAAGCATACTTTTGCCATGTTTTTCTAATGCTATGGCAGGCTTTGAAATCACGTGGTACGAATAGGGGGTCGCCATTGGCTGCTGCGCACCTGTATGTGCTGTGAAGCCTGCTTGCCGCAGAGTCCATGTCTCGGTGAGCAGCGCAGCTAAACTACAGTGGGTTTATCTCCATTATGGATGAAAAAAGCCGTAGCTCACCCAATAGCTCTGCTGTCAACGTGAAAGCTGTTGTGGCGGCGCGCTCTGTAGGAATGGGCTACGAGCAGCTGGTCTCGATTTGCAGCAATTCTTGGCTTGCAAAAGCCAGTGCATCATAAGTATTTCACAGCCATCAGCCGGAAATTTTGTGATGTGGCAATATATGTCATATGTGCCAATCTTGCGAAAGTTGAGGGAGCTAGCTCACAGTGAGGGAAGTTAGTTGGGACAACATTGCCATTATTACCACTATACGTGGCACAGACACGGCCACAATAGCCACAGTGCCATCATTACTGTTGTGTCTCTCGACACTGCACTTTGTTTAGATTTCTAAGACCTATCAAACATCTCCCTATTTTGCAGTCAGCACAAGGCTCTACTAGATGGAGCAGAAGTTTGGCAAGCATTTCATGGCCCTGTCTGTGACTAAATGTCTGTGAGGAGTCAGCTCAAGAGAGCCGTGAAAGATAACTTATGGTGCTGGCGCATTTTAGTAGTAGTGGCCACTACAAGGATTTTTCTTTTTGCAAATTTTATTGCACTTAATGACATCTTTCATAAATTAAACATTCAATTTTAGCTTTAAAACAGATTTTTCTCAAAACACAGATCTTGTTTTTTTTCTACTGTGCCCCCCTTTTTTTTGGGGTACCTCTGGTGCTCAGATCTGCATGAAATTTTGCTCAAGTTTTTTCTAAAGTAGTAAAAATTTAATTATCTTGTTTAAATTTTTATATTTTTTTATATTTTATTATATAATAATAATTTTTATGTAAACCATTACAAGAGTAAGAAAAATATGCACATTTTCACGTCTCTTACATATTTTGTATGCACTTCCTAATTAGTTTTCTGCATTCTACACATTTTTTAAAACATAATTAAATATCAACGGTAAAAAACTATGGAAGTTTAGTGATGGAAAATGGGGAGGGCAAAATGATTAAGGCTCTCACTTTGCCATGTTGCAGAACTAAAAGTATGCGACTTGGAAGAAAACTAATCAAAAATTTGAAATCAGCATAAAAAGCTCTATGAACAGCTCAAGTTTCATTGCTCTAGGGTTAATAATTAAAAAAATTTATTCGAGTGGCGTCTCCCCTTAACTAGGCTGAACGTGGCAAAGGCTAGCTGCGCCGAGTTTCTGTTCACACCGTAGGAGGTTTTATCTCGGCTGCGGCGGTTGCATTTCAATGGGGGCAAAATGGTATAGGCCCGTGTACTGTGTGATGTGAGTGCACGTTGAAGAACACCACAGCCCTCCACTAAGGCGTCTCTTAATCATGTCGTGGTTTTGGGACATGAAACCCCATATGTTATTATTATTGTTCACACCATATGACAGATGAATAGCTTTAACAGCTTCGACGTTAAAATAACTCAAATAAATACTTATCTTGTGAAAGCACATGCTCCGGCTTGGGGGAACAAGCACTGCTTATCCCACTATCGGAAGGAGCATCTTACAAGCTACTGTGTTCACTGCACATGTGGCAAGTCGAGCAATGCCGAGCTAGATTTCCCCGACACTGTGGTCATCGACACAGTGCCATTTTATTTTTTTTTGCTTTGCACAAATCAGTCGCGAAGGTGGTAATGCTTGGGGTCAGTCCATTTTAGTATTGTGTACTCAACATTTCTCACATCTTAGTATTTCATTTTCTGACAAGAATGTGCCAAATGTGTGCAATATTGATGGTGATTACTGCCATGTGGTGAAGTTACAATGTTCAAAACATGGGGGGGTCTGTGAATGAGGGCGCCAAAACGCCAGTGACATATATCAACGCTCTAGACACCTTGTTGCAAGAATGCTGAGGTAGTAGGATTCTGCTTTGTATGCAATTCTATGGAGCACATCAACTGTGGAGTGATGACATATTTATTGTGCAGGAGATCACATTGCACAATTGTGTTAAGAGAGTTAGATCACAGACTCGAAGGAAACAGGCTCAGATCAACTTTTGACTGAAAGCATTATGATCAAAGAAACGAAAAAGAAATCTTTTACCATTTCTCTTGCTAGCAGCACGTCAATGTTCTTTAAAATGTCTGCAGACTTCTACCAAAGCAGCTATATGTAGGACACTAAAACTGGCTTCATAGGAGGTTTGATCGACCTAGAGCGTAATAGTCTTTCGCTTTTCTTTACTACCTCTCCAACTGCAACTGGCAAAATCTATATGCATTCTCAGATGTGCATACTGTTTCGAAAGGAATATGCAATATATGAAGGCATGTGCGGCCTCTGCTTTTTTTTTTTTTCTTACTTTTGCCGCAGCTTGCACTGAATGTAAAGTTGCTGTGATGCTTCACTCTGCAGTGCCATACTTACATGAAATGAAGATACTGTAATTTCAGTGAGAGCATCGTGCAAAATTGCACCTTTTCCACTACTGCAGGCTTGAGCTGCATGTACAAGACCGACTTGAAGGGAGCATTGGTGTGTACTTTTGGCACCAAGGGCAAGGAACATGGCAAGATGTTTGAGCCGTCTGGCGTAAGTGCTACGGACCGCTGCATTTTCATTGGAGACAGCAAGAACAACCGGGTGCAGGTTAGTCTTCGACTATCGTACAGCAAACGTGACACGAAAAGCTGTGAAGAGAAAGAGAAAAAAAAAAAAATTAGGCAGGATTGGGAAGTTCTGAACATTTGTAGCATTGAGGGTTAAATACACAGCTCTTAAATGGGTGATGCTACCAAATTTCGAGGCTATCCCAAGCCTGTTGTGGGTTTTCTCTGTATGCAAGGACTCTCCTCACGAAGGGTCGGACACAACAAATGCGTAGAATATATTTTAATTCACTTCTAAAAGTGTAGCTGAATGCTCACTCTCGTGATCTAGTCCCATCGCTTGCGCAGCAACACTGACGTTTCAGAATAAAAGAAGCAGCGGCAATTGTCTTGACGTCACACCAGATCTGTAGTGACGTGAGTGACCTCCGCCATCATCGAAATGAGCGTACCTAACGTACCAGCAAAAGATCAAAGCATCGGTTGCTGTACTACTCACCTAGTTTCGATCGCCTCTTGGCTAAGTGCTACGCATTCAAACCTGCGAAGATATTCAGTGTTTTGCTGGTGCTTGTGTGGCATGTGTGTGTGAGAGCAGACCAAACTCGGCACAGCCTTGTGTGGTCACGTGACTAAGCCACCTATGCATCAATGTCGCTGCCCAATTTGCGCCACGAAACCGAGAAAGTAGAGCAATATTAAAATATTAAGCAAAAATACACAAATATTGGTTCGTGTATCATGCTTCTTGGAGCTGGAGTCACTGCCTAACTTGGCGCCATGAAAACGAAACCGAGAAAGTAGAACAAAATAAATTATTTAGCGAAAATGCACGAATCATGGTGTGTGTATCATGCTTTTTGGAGTGGAAGGACTTGCTTACAGCAAAGAACACGCATGCCACAAATTTGGTGGCACCACCCCTTTAACCTCAGAGTTCCCTTCTTTCATATCGAGGACTTGTCTCAGCAGACTTGAAAGGGTCATGAATTGTTTTCGAAAAATTTTCAGTTGTATGTGTTTAAAGAATCCTGGTCATACATTCAATATTATACCTTGACTGTTTTCACTGTCTGGGTTTATTTAATAGCTATAAAAAGACAATTTCGATTCCCCACTCACGTGCTCCTCAACTATACAGCCGACGTCACTTTAAAGTCGACCAGTGAAAAATCCTTGGCCGACAAAAAATGGCAATGCAGCAATGTTTGCGTAGCCATAGCTGACCGAGGTTGTTCGTAGCATCATTGAATCTTGACTGTGGCGTCGCAAAGCTATCACGAACGTTGTTTCCCCTTTGGCAAGTTGTGCGGCACAGTCTGATGGCACACACTCTAAGCACACTGAGGACTAAGCCACCCAAGACACACTGTTAGGTGCAACCTAACCCAACCAGTTAAAAAAAACACTGAGACTCTGTGCACAGCTAGTGAAGGCAACAGATGACGGAACTCAGATGTACTTGAAAGCAAAACTAAGCAGATCACTCACTGTACTTTTTCAGAATACAAAGCTCAGAGTGTTAAAATTGTTATTTTTTTTCTTGCCTAGATTCCTATACATCCATCATTTCGGAGCAAAAAAAAAAAAAAAAAGCTAGCCGTCTGTTTATTACTTCTCTTACCATGACGTTTCCCTGACATTGCATGTTAGTGCCTATGGTGGCCGGTAGGGGGGCTGCACAGGTCGCGTAGGAGCCAGAAAAAACTGCGATTTTAAATGGAGCCACTACCTATAGTAGAGCGGTGGCGAATCCAGAGGGGGGGCCAGTAAAAGCAGTCCCCCCTCCTTCCCATAGTCTGTCAGCACCCCTCTTCACTTCAGCTTTAGAGTTGATACAATAATACCTAGAGGGGAATCTGTCGCTAGTGTCTACGAGGGCTCCTTCAGCAGTACTTGTACCCCCATGTTAATTAAGGTAAGTAAAGGCTTCGGATCTGCTTCGGATGAATAACGTTCTTGAGATTCACGACACTTGTTTGCCTGAGTGTAAAACAGTGATATAAGGTTGTGTCTAATTCAAACTAGTTTAATTTTTTTGTCTGCAAACTTTAATGCAAAAGATTTTCGGGACTAGGCAGTAGAAGTGAAACCTGGACAAAGTTAACCACCAGGGTATGGATTGCTCTGCCACTGTGTTCCAGATTTAGCATCAAGGTGTAATGAATTATTCTTTACAACATTTCAAAACAAACGTTCTTGTTTTGCCCTCGAAAGTACGCAATACCTATTTATGAAAATAGAAGCACAGTATTAAGTGAGAAACACTTGACGTTTCGTCTGCTGCGATGCCAGCTGCGTCTGTTAAACTGGTCTGCCCCCAACCCACCTCTTGTTTTGTTGCGAAAGTCGAGTCAAAAAAAGAGGGGCGGTGCGTCTACTTCGCGTCGCCGTCCTTTTGCAGTTGATTTCAACGAGCTTTGGCAAGACACACTAACAACAAATGTGAACTTCGATGTAATATCCTGCACTGGCATGGGACGCTACATCTATGCGACGTGGTAAGTAGACGATGCTTCGCCTAAACAGTCAAACGGGACTTTAAAGCTCCAGCATTGCAGTAAATTCAGAGGCCTAGCAGTTTTCAGCTTCTTTGAACAACAAAGGCGCAGCTTCAGTCCTTTGCACCCACCCCATTACCCACACTACGCGAGAACAAAACTGAAACTGTAGAAAAAGATCCGTAGACAGTTCGTTGGCTAACGTGATCCAGTCCGAAGCCTGTACTTCCCATAACTCCCATGAGGGTACACGATCGCAGTGCCGAATTCCTCTGTAGGTGTTGTATGAAACTGTACGACTTCAGTGGTCGTAGTCCACCTGCTATCACAAATTAAGACAAATTAGTGAAATCTCTCTGAACACACATTAACAGTATATATGCTTTGAAGGGTTTTTTCTGCTAGTAAAAACAAAAAGTCATTACCACGTCCCCCGCACCAGTGTTACTTTTGGCGGCCGCCCCTTATAATATAGTTGGCTGGATCTGGCCCTGTAGTAGACTGGATAATTTGCTGGAGTATTTCATAATTGGCATATCTGATCCTCACTGAAGTAGAGAAAATAATAACCTGGCAGCTTCATCTTTGTAAGGAGAAAATGTTGTAACTAGGCAGCTTCATTTTCGTTTCGTGAACCTTTTAATGCCTTAAGGTAGCAAGAGAGAGCTTATTGGTCAGCTGCCACCTTGTGGAAAGATGTGCCAGGTGATACAGCCTGGATAAAAAAGTGTTTTATTCACGCTTCCTTGGCTACAAGTGGCGCTGCCTGACACTCGCAGGTATTGCATGCACAGAAATACTCAACAGAGGGGACGGGGGAGTGCCTTTTGCCATATTTCAATCGGTATAGCTTTAGATGGGTAATTCAAAGGTTGTGGCCTAGGATTCATTGAAGGAAAGGGTGCTTTTTTGTCCACATTGAGTCACTTTAACTTGTCATAGTTGGTACACTACAGTTTAATAATAAATAATTTTATTGCGATAGCAATTATATGGACAGTCTCGGCTGGCTTTTTGCCGCCGACGCAGTCATTGACCGTATATGTATACGTATATATATATATATATATATATATATATATATATATATATATATATATATATATATATATATATATATATATATATGACCACTCATGAAAAAAAGAAAAGCCACTCATGCTCGATGCCCAGCTCCTTGCGATGCGCTGATGCGCGCTTATTTCTCACGCTTACTTCGCCCCACAATTGGTGGTGGGGGTAGGGGGGGGGGGGGGTTGAATGCTTGTGTGCTCGCGCTTATGCTTTGGTGAGAAGAATCCTGTCCCTTGGGCTTTCACTGGAATGATTTCGTTAGTTGCCGAGCCCCGTTTGTGAAATGAGCACGCTTTTTATACACAGCGAGGTATAACAACTTTGTTTTTGTTTAAACAGCACATTATGTTGTTACGTTGTTAGCTCGCTTTCGTTCTGTGTGTGTTGTTTTCATGCGTCATTTGTGCGTGAGCAGCACGCTGCACGTTTCAATCTGCTTGTCGTTCTCAGCATTATATTCCAAGTTGCTTCTCTCGCATTCATTCCTTCGCTCTTGTGGTGAAACGGTTACTTTTTCCTTATGCTTTCTTAGGTTCAACTGTCTGGTCGTTTGTGTTTAAAAAAAAAAGGAGTCCCTTGGAAAAAAAATTTGTTTTTGTTAAGGTTCACTTTTCCAAATGCGGAGGAAGCACCACTGGGAAGGGGTCATAGCTGCCAAGGAAAAAAAACAAACCTTTTCATTAGACTTTTACTTATCCAGAAGGCCTTTTTTTTTCTTTTGCTCCATGGCCATAGTGTAATATGTATACTTTTTAGGTAAGGAAACTTTTGAGAAGCGATTGGCCATATGAATAACACCGAGTGCCCGTCACTCTGTTGACGGCAACGGATGCTGATTCAAGGGAAAACGCAACTTCAAGGCAAAACCGCATTCCCATAGCAACCGGCCTTTCATGAAAAATATGAATTTACTAGTCAGTGAACGCACCTATGACATGCCAGCGATTAAAGTTGGAAAACACATATCGCCTTTTTCGCGAATGAGAAACACAACTTGGCAGATGCCCTGAGTTGCCATTGACCCTATTGGTTGCAGAAAGCATTTTCTGCCTTTGAGTAGCGTCTTCCCGCCGATAGATACCCGCTGCCGTCACCGGACAAGCAGACACACGCTGTTCTTACTTTGTCGAGTGGAATGCTCCTTGCATTCAAGCCAAGAGAAGTCACCACCTAATGCGTACATAGCTGAACCGCAACAAGTTAGTGCGAGGAATGAGCTGGCTAAAGGGTGCAAAACATGGTGTTTACACAATGACCGTAACTGTAGAAGATGCCAGTGGCAACATAACTAACACAGAATGTTGAAAACTTGGAAAGCTAAGGCACATTTTGACAGACTACATCATCATCATCATCATCATCATCATCATCAGACTAACTACGTCCACTGCAGGACAAAGGCGTCTCCCATGTTCCGCCAGTCAGCTCGGTCTTGTGCTTGCGGCTGCCAATTTATACCCGCAAA